GGCCGTTGTGCAGGGGCGTGCAGTGGCGAGGGTGGGGGTGGGGGTTAGGCGGGGCGGGGGAGGGGAGCGTGAGGGAGGAGAGAGGCTGCGAGGACGGGGAGGGGCGGAGGAGGGGCGAGAGGGGAGGAGGGTGGGGGATGGGCGCGTGCCAGGCTTGCGCGGAGTCGTCGAGCGCGAGCAGCACGAGGCCCAGCAGCACATAGTTTGTGGACGAGTACGAGACGCAGCTGCCCGGCTCGCAGATGAAGGGCGGCTTCACGGCGGCGGCGCCGAGCACAAACTCCAGCGGCGTGTGCACGCGCTTCGCCACCCCCGCCTGCAGCAGCGCGTCGTCGAAGGCGGGGTAGTCGAAGTCAGCAATCCCCGAAGACATGTGCAGCAGCTGACGCAGCGTGACGAGGCGAGCGCGCGGGCCAAAGAGGGCGGCGAGGGTGGTGTTGGCGCCGACTCTCCTCAGCGCCTTGTCCACCAGCGGCGCCGCCGCGTCGTCGAGGCCCACCCTCCCCGCCTCGACGGCTCGCATCACCCCGACGGCCGTGTACGGCTTGGTGCCAGAGCCAAAGAGGAAGATGTCGTCCTCGGTCACCTGGGGCGGGGCGGCGGGTGGGCCGAGGGGGCGCTAGGCCGGGCGGGGAGGAGGGCGGCAGCGCGGGCGCGGGCAAAGGCGGCTCGGTGCACCTTGCGCCCCTTCCACTCGCCCGCCACGAGCGTGAAGTTTTCGCTGGCAGACACCCACGAGAGCGAGATGGCGACGCCGCGCAGCTTGCTCTGCAGCCGGATGAATGACTCCAGCCGCTCGCGCAGGTTGGATACGCTCGGCTCCGTGTCGTACCAGCCGCCGAGCCACCACGCCGCAGTCTCGGCGGCGGCTGCAGCCTGTTCGACCACGTTGAAGTAGTACGATTCGTTACTGGTGGCCGCGACTGCCGCCGGCTCCGCCGCAGCCGCGACACCGCTTCTCTCGCCCACCGCGCCCAGGTCGTTGATCCAATTTTGCTCCCGCTGACCCCCAAAATTTGCACCCAGTTCGTCGACCCAATTGCTGCTGCCCCCGCCCGCGCCCCGTGGCTCAGCCACATCGGTGACGCCCAGAGCCATCGAGAGCCAATCGAGATGACGCGGAGCGGCGCGCGAGGTGGCAGCCAGGCCGAGTGCGGCGCACGCGCATGCACCCAGAGCGAGCAGCGCTCGGCGGTGGCCGCGCCGGCGAGAAGGCACGTCGACCGTGATCATCGTGCGGGGTCTCGGGGTCCGTGTGCCGTGCGAAGCACCTTGGTCAGAACCTCCTTTCCTCGTTTGGCCGAGTTTTTCTTTTTTTCTCTCTTTTTACCGCGTCGCGGGCATACAAGGTGTTTGACGGCGGCTAGCTAGCAACTACTGGACCAGGAGGGAGGCGGGTTCGGGGCTAGGTTCGGGGGGGACCAACTAAGCAGCCGCCGGCCGTAAGTATAGTCGTCCACTGCGACTGTGGGCCCTGCCAGTCTACTGATTGCCAACAACATACCTAATAACGCTTCCCTCTGACAGTATAAAACCCTACAGTCCACCTTCGCTCGTTCGGGTACGTTGGTCGTTGCTCGTACAGTCGTAAGAGCCACATAGACTTGAGAGAGAGAGAGAGAGAGAGAGAGAGAAGGGGGAGTGTGTGTCGTCGCGTGTCCTTGTCTGGTGTTTACTAGCTCCGAGTAGAGGGGGCGTTCTGCTGCTAGGGGAAACCTGGAGCGCGGTACTAACCCTCGGAGAACCGTGTTTAATTTATGGCCCTTTCCCTGCGAACGCGCACCCCCCTAGGGGTCAGGGCTCTCTAGCCCGTAGCCCGATGCCGATCATCCGGCCCGCTGGGGACGCTTCTTAGCTCCCCGGCCCTGGATGTGAGGTGAATGACTGTACTCCAAGTGCTCCAAGTTTCCCACTCTGCTACTGGTCCTTTCCCAGGCGAGGGCTGCCATCCGGGTATGCGAAGGCGTATTTCCCGCTCGGTTTGCTGTGCTCTCTTCGCCGTGTAGTAAAACTGGCGGACGAGTGCCGCCCTAGTGTCCTTGAAGATGGAGTCGACTCGGGCGTCCGGCGTCGCGTCACACTGCCTGGGCGGCTCGGGGCGCCAACTTGGCTTTCCTGTAACCGCCCGGGTTCACGCCCGACCACATCGCACATGCTTGGGCAACCCACGTCACCTACCTGCACCTGCGTTTGTGTGTCTGTGTGTGTCGCTATCTTCTGTCCAGCGTCCACGGTCCACCCCTGCGCCCTGGCATAGGCATGTCCAGAGGAGCCGGGGGGCGCCCCCCCCGAGGACTACTTTTATAGCATTTAGGTCATCCCGAAACAAACGAAAAGCCAAGCACGGGATGGAACATTGCTCTATCCCACCGATTCTTCATCCAGGGCTTTGCGCCGCTGGCGCCTGTCGTCCTCCTCAAAGCGGCTGAACAGCTCCGACAGCTCCTCTGACTCTGGCCCGAATGCGTCGGCCTCGCCACCTTCCACGCCGGCAGGGGCCGCCGAACGCTTCAAAAGGCAGAGCGAGTAGCCGCGATTCGATCGCACGCGGGGGCACGCGGCGGCGACTGCGTCGCCCCCTCCACGCCACGCCGCGCGTGCGATAGCGGGGAACTGCCTATGCGTGGTCTCTAGGACAAGCATGAGAGTGCCCGCGGGCGCCCTCGCGAAGAGCTCCTCGAAGAAGACAAAATCGCTGTCGCGCAGCGCCACCGCATTCTCCGCGACGACGTAGGACGCGACGAAGAGGCGCGTGCCGCCGGCGAGCGCCTCCTCGACGAGCTCATTCGCCGGCGCGGCAAGCGGCAAGGTGATATCGCACCGCCCGAACGCCGCAGAGTGGCGCGGTGGGAGACGGAGGTGGGCGCGGCTGTGGCCGCCACGCGATCTGCCCTTGGGCGGTGCGGGCGGTGCGATATCACCTTGCCGCTCTATATATACGGCCCCCTCTATATATTCCGCGAAGCCGTTCCTGCCCAGTTCACTTGTGGCGGCGCAGTTTTTTCGATTTTCGCAGCTCCACTCGCGCCGAAGGGAGTGTTGAGCCGATTCTGTGATTGCGGCTGCGTGGTTGGTCGGCGGCCGTCGCGTTCGGTCGTCCCGTGCCGGCCTCGGCGTCGCGGCCCTCGCACACCCTGGGTTCGTCCGAATTCGAATCGCCGTTGTGGAGTACGGGCGCGGCAAAGTCGGCGCCTCGACAGCGCCTCGACGGCGGCCGCAAAAGCCGTATCCTGCACGTCGCCGCGCGGCCTCGAGGCGCCGCGAGCGTGCGCTGAGGTCAGCACGACTCGCTCCGGCCCGAGACGGCCGACGCGCGCGCTCTCGCTCCCACCTCTCCATCCCGACGCTCCGCGCTCGCTGTGTCGCCCGCGATCGCGGCATAACCACCGAGCCGCAGCGCGGCGCTCGGCCCGCGCCGCCGTCTCACGAGCTCGTCTCTCGCCCGCCGCGCAGGCGAAAACCAACTCCGTCCTCAAGGGCAAGCTCGAACGACTCTCGTCACTGTACCCGCCCTCGTGCCACGCTGCAGCCGCCGCTCTCGTCTCTCCTCTGTCGCTTCGCCGCGGTCGCGGCCGCACGGAGGTGCCACGGGCCGTGCGAGTGATACTCCGCTGCGTGCTGTCCGGCTCCATATACTGCGACTGGTGCGCCGCGGATGTTTGAGAGTGCGGTTTAAAAAGGTCTCCTGCCCCCACGGTGCGGAAATCATGAGAGGGGCAAAATCGCATCCTCCGCATGGCGGCCTATTTGACAGTCGTCCCGGCTCCGTCCAAGCCCCAATCGGGTCCTTTCATACCAGATCTGGGCCGAGTGAAGCCTGAGTGAGTAGGCACACGCCATGGGTGAGCACCGGGGCTCCGGCTCAGGTCGTGGGGCATAGCTCGGGTGTAAACAGGGTCTGGGGCGGGCGGCCCGCCGCAGGCGCCGCCGGAGGCTGGCCCGCCGCAGGCGCCGATTTTTTGGCGTTTTTTTTGCTCAAAATTGAGATATTTCTCATCAAATTCTCATCAAAATCGAGCTCGCTACGAGCTCTCTAACTGCACATCTCCTCGTTGAGCCTAGCGGCGCCCGTATCGCCCACGCCCACATTCTTCTTCTTCTTGCCCTTCTTGCCCTTGGCCCTTGCTGCACTTAGCCGCTCAACCTCCGCCACTGCCGCCGCCTCCGCCTCGCTGCCGCTCTGTAGAAGGGCGCGCGCCGCCGCACTGTAGCAGCCAGGCTCGAGGGGCGTGCCGCGCGCTTCCGCCTCGCGCAGCAGCCGCAGCGCGGCGTCGCCGCGGCCGGCCCGCTCGCACGCGCCGAGGGCCGCGTTGAGTGCGGCGGTGTCGGGCGGGATGCGGCGCTCCTCGACCATCTCCCGGTAGAGCTCGAGCGCCGCGTCGCAATCCGCCGCCCGCCCGCACGCCGCGATGGCGGATGTGTAGCAGTACAGGTCCGCCGACGCGCCTCGCGCCTCGAGCGCCGCTCGCGCGCCGACAGCGTCGGTGCAGCCTCGGATGGCGGCGGCGGACGTCGCCGCGCCGCCGCCGCCGCCTCGATCGGCGACGCGGCTGGGCGCGAGCGAAGGGTGGGGCGGCGCGGGACCGGCCGCCGGCCGCTCAAAGACGCAGAGCCAGCGCGCAAACGCGCCCGAGCCTGCGCCCGCGCGCGGGAGGCCGCGCGAGCCGGCGCGTCGCGACTTGCGCGTGTGGAATCGCTGCCGGCGGGCGAGGAGGGTGGTCAGGCCGTGGGCGCCGCCCCGCCGCGCGAGGAGCTCCTCAAAGGGAAGCTCCGCCTGCTCACAGACACTCTGGTGCACCGCTGGCTCGTCCCTCGGCCGCCCCTCTCCACAGCGCGGCCCCGCCTCCTCCCCGCGCGCCGGGAGGAAGAGGGCGAGGCGTCCGCCCGGACGGAGCAGGCTGCCAGAGAGGGAGAGCAGCGCGCGGGAGAGGTCGGACGGCACCGACTGCTGCCACGTGCTGCCCACCCCCTCGCGCAGGACCGGCGCCCGCATCCCGTACGGCGGGTCGCACACGACCGCGTCGTACGTCCCCGCAGCCTCGGGGCCGAGGAGAGGCCCGGCAGGAGACAGCACGTCGCCGCAGCCGAAAGTGGGCTCGCCGAGCGCCAGCGCCGCAAAGTCGTCCGCCGCGTGCGCGAACGCCGACGCGTTGCGGTCGGCTCCCACGGCGGTGGCGCCCAAGGCCGCCGCGCACACGAGGAGGCCGCCTGTGAGGAAAGTGCCGAGAAGGTGCCAAGAAGGCTCCGAGGAGAGCAGGGCTGCAGGCGAGGAGGCGGCCTCCTCCGCAGCACGGATCGAGCACGCGGCTCCCTCGCCTACGGGACGAGCTCGGAGAAGCTTCCGAGAGGGCTCCTCGAGGCGCGGCTCGTGCGGTGCCCTCCCTCGCCGGGCGCGCGCCAGGTTGGCGAGCAGGAAGCCTACGGGCAGGCTCATGGGAGGAGGCTCGCGCGAGACCGGTCCGGCGGTGTCGGCGAGGCCGCGGCGAGGAGGAGGAGGCCGAGCTCGGGCTCGATCGCCGTGGCGGCGTTGTGCCGCCTCTTGCGCAGGGCGTACCTGCCGAGCAGCCTAACGGGACGCGTCTCGGACACGTCGTGGACGTGTCTCCCCGGGCAGCGGCTCGGGACGCGGCGGCCGAGCGACCCACTCGACGGGCGCCGGAGGGAGCGGCCGGGCGCTCCACGGCTCGCGGCGACGCCGGTCGCGGAGCGCCACCCAAAGTGGTGCGGCGAGAGAGGCCCATCCTCGCGGAGCAGCACCCACTCGCGCCGCGGAGGCGACGCCGCCGCGGTAGCAGCCTCGCCGCCCGGTCCCCACCCGCGGGAAAAGTCAGCGAGAGCGGCCGCGCGGGCGTCGGCTCGCAGATTCGGCTCGGCCAGGTCGATTAGCTCGAGAGCCGGCATATGCTGCTGCTGCTGCTGCTGCTGCTGCTGCTGCTGCTGCTGCTCCTGCTGCACCTGCCAAGCCACTGCAGCGGCGCCGGCCGCCTCGGCGCAGCCCGCGGTGGCGGCAACCTCAAATACCCCGTGGAGGAGCACGCTTCGCGCCGCGGCGTCAGCGAGGGCCGTCCGCGACGCCTCCGTCTGCACCTCGGCCCAGCACAGTGATTGGTCGGGGCTGCCCTCGGCCAGGCGCACGGCGTCCGGCGGCAGCAGCGCCGACAGCTCGTGACGTGGAAGGTCAAAGGGCCCGTCAAAGCCATAGGTGTGCCGCGAGCGGCCGCGCCACAGGATCAGCGTGCGCGACGGCGGAGCCAGCACCACTCCGAGCGATGGTGATGTGAGCAGTGCAAGAATTGGCAGGCACCTGACCATTCCTCTATGCGGCAGCGGCGGAGGGAGGAGAGCGGCTAAGAGGCTGAGAGAGAGGCTCAGAGGTCCTGGCACTGCTGCGGCGCGGCGGTCTCTTTGCGGGCTCGTCGGAAGGCGATGTACACCTCCCTCACCTGGCGACAGTCGACCGACCTAGCTGTAGCTCGCGCGCCTCCAGCCTCTGCCGCGAGACCTCGTGACGCGGCCAGCCCTGCTTGTTGGTGCTAGGTTTTTGCGTGGTAATTGATAATTTATAATTTATCTTTAAATTGGTTTGCTCACTTCCAGACCACTCTCTATGTTGTTCACAGACCTTTTCTGGAGAAGAAAACAAGTGGTGCTGCGCGCTGGTCTATGAGAGGTTGCGGTGCGAGCCCTGGCCCTGGGGATGGATGGGGGGAGCTTCACACCACCACCTGTGAGTGTCCCGGCTCTCGTTGGCGGTGCTGGAGGCTGAGCACTGCGCGCGCAGCCGCCTGCCCGCCGGGCTCTTGGCCAGGCCGACACACCTTCTGGCGCCGAGGCTGCAGCCGCAGCGAGGCGTGCGGGGGGCGCGCTCGCGCGGCGATGCTCACGCAGCATGAGGCGGCGGCGCTGCTAACTGTGCTGTCCGCAGAGACCGAGCCTCTCGAGTCAGCAGCTGCTGCATTCGGCCGCGCCTTTGCGCGCGCCGACTGCTTCCGGGTGGGCGCGGCGCTCTGCATGCTGCTAGAGGACGGCATGCTGCCGCCGCGGCATACATTGGCTGCGCTGTACATTCTGCACAGCCTGTATAAGAGCGAGGCGCCAGGGGTGCACCCCTTTATGCCATTCCTCGTCTGCCTTTTTTCTGGCCGGGCCTCCCCCCCCCCCCCCCAACCCGCCTGCCGCTCTTTTACCAGGCCGACACACCTTCTGGCGCCGAGGATGCGCCAATTTCTTTTTTCGAGGAGATGCAGCTAATGAAACACACGGCGCGAATCCCAGCGCCACATTACGATGGACGCTGTGGCTGAGAGCGCTACGATGAACTCTAGCGCTGTGGCTGAGAGCGCGATCGCCATGGACCAGGTCTTGACGTTTGTATTTCTCTGCCTCGCCATGTGCTGGTCGACCGCGTTTGTCAAGCGTTCGTACTCCAGGAAGCAGGCTGCGACGGAGGCTGTGCCTGCGGTGCTCGAGGAAACGCCGACGTCTGAGGCTGCGATGGCAGCTCCCGATCCGCCCGAAGAGATACCGACCAAGCCAGCAGTGCTAGTGACGCCGACGCCGACGCCGCACCCAGTTGACCAGTTCGTAATGGCGGTCCACAGGATCCTCGGCTGCGGAGCGTGAGAGGTGTACGATGCTGTGCGGGGTGCTGATGGCGAGTATGACGAATTTGGCGGGGTGCCGGTGTGGCAGTGGACGTGCGGCGGTGCGGCGGTGCGACTCTCGTGTGTGTGTCTGTGCGGTGCAGCGGCACGAGCCGCGTTTTATGTTGGCGGCAGCACCGGCACACAGCGCGCGCGAACGATACGTGACACCGCGATCGAGCCGGCGCTCTTGTTAAAATGCGTCGTTAATACGGACCGGAGACTCAGAGACAGATGGGAGATTGTGAGCCCCTAGAGTAACTCCCACGTCACGGTCGCCAGGGGCCAACGGAATACTTTCCGAGGGCCGGCGGGCCGCGACCCTCCCCCTTCGCAAAACCCGAGCGCGACTCACTCGAGCGTCTTGAGGAGGCGGAAGAGGCCGGCGGCTTCGCGTATGTGCGAGAACTCGATGCAGAACGCCTGCACCTCGATGAAGAGGTCCTGAACGTTGATGATCTTGTTCCTGATGAGAGACTGCAAGAAGACGCAGACCAGCCGTACCAGCCGGTTCTGCATGTACCGGTCCTTGATGGACTCGCAGGACGAGATGCAGTTGGAGATGTAGAGGTGTACGAACTCGGTGGGCAGGTCGACGGCGGTGGTCAGCCGGTTCACGACCTGTGCGCACGCGAAAATGGGGAAGATGGTCGGAGGCGGCGGGCAAGGGTCGGAGGCGCGGGCAAGAGGGTCGGAAGCGGCGGCGGGGCTTCGGCGGTCGGAACTCGTCGCCGGGTGAGGCATGGCGGGCGCGGCGCGCGCGCCTCCATCGAGTGGAGCGAGATGTCCATGTTGACCAGCACCGAGAAGTAGTCTGTGAGCTGCGACGAGGACATGAGCTTGAGCAGCACCTCGATGGCGATGACGGGGTTGTTCTCGACGAGGTCGGGCAGCCGCTTGGGCGTGAGCCCGCAGTGGTACACGAGCTTGGCGTCGCCCTCCAGCTCGGCGAGCACCTGCTGCTGCTGCACCGGAACGAGCGGCCCCCGGAACGCCTTGCCCATCAGCTCACGCACCTGCCGCGCAGCCGTGCAGCGGTGAGCCGAGCCGCGCGCTCTCCTCTTCCGGCGCTGGCCGAGGCGGTGGAGGTGCAGAGCGCAGTGCACTCGAGGCGCCGTCCGGGGAGGCGGGGTGCACCGGTGTCGAGACGTGTCGCGGTGGGGCGGCGGGAGCGTGGGGGGCGGGCTCGGTGCGGCTGCTGCAGCGCCGAGACTTCCGCGCACCACCTCGCTCTGCCCCGGATGTCGACAGCTCACATCATGAGCACCTGTTTTTTAAAAAAAGATTCCGCTCCGCACGCCTACCAGCATATACGCCCTGCCTCTAGAGTTACAAGCACATACAGAGAGGGCTACTATTACAGATGTCATAACTTTATAACGATGAAAACGTTCGTCAGAAATGGCTCCCGGACACATACTAAGTTTGGACTTTACTAAACAATACAACTATTACAAATAACCTAGGCATTTT